TCCAATAGATGGCGACGTGAGCTAAGGAAAACGTCTCGCGAAAAATAATAGAATAATTTAATTGTTATGGACCCGCCTTATTTAAGGTAATTGTTTAACTGAACTTTTCCTAGCTATAATGTTTTCTGGAATGTCAAATTAACTCAAACGGTAAACATATTTTAATATCGCAACACAAGAACAATAAATAATTCCGCGCCAATAGACTCCAAAACGCTCGACGAATATTAATGTTTTTCGGTTTACATTAGAATATTTGTATGCAATATTGATTTTCTCCTAGCAATTAAAGATTTTGCCTTCACTAGTACAATAGAGCGTGAATTTAATGTCAAAAACAATAAGTATTTCGTCATTAAGTGCACCAAAGAAGACGAGGAAGACAAGATGAGGATTTAGGAATCGCTTCTGTAATCGTATTAGTGACCGGATCCACACTAGCGAACTAAATCAAAGGCTTGTACCGTTCGCCACAGCACGAGGGAGAACAGACGGCTCACTCCAGGCGGACATACATGCCCTTAGAACGAACTAGCTTAATAATCTATATCTACAAAAGCGAAAGGTCACTGATTGACTGACTCACTCATCATTAAATCTCAGAAACTATGTGCTAGGAATCTCAAATTTTGCATGGCCCTTTTAGAACGTAGGTGCTCACTGACGGGATTTTGCAAAATTCCCTTAGGGGGTAAAACAGGATCCACGCGTACGAAGTCGCGTACGCGTAATATTAATGTAAGTGAAAACTATTTTCCTCAGATTGAGACTGAAATTACTCATTACAATTAATTTCAACCAAAGTTAAACGTTTTTAGGGTTCCGTACCTCAAAAGGAAAAAACGGAACCCTTATAGGATCACTTTGTTGTCCGTCCGTCCGTCTGTCAAGACCCTTTTTCTCAGGAACGCGTGGAGGTATGAAGCTGAAATTTATATCAATTACTCAGGTCTACTGTCCCTTGAAGCTGTGAAAAAATCAAACTTCTAAGCCAACGCAATCAAAAGATACAGCCGTTTATGCCGCAAATTTTCGACACTTGCAAGGGAATCAAAACCTACAGGGTGCTTCCCGTGAACTCAGAATCTTGAAATTTGGTACAAAGCAACGTCTTATAGCATAGATAAAGGAAAAATTACGAAAACCATACATTTTTAGTTACATCACATTTTTTTTTTTTTAATAATTTTAAACTTACTACCCATTTCCTCATAAACGCGTAAAGGTATTAAATTGAAATTCATACCAAATACTCAGGTCTATAATACCTTTAAGTTGTAACAAAATCAAACTTCTATGTCAACGCAATCAAAAGAAACAGCAATTTAAGCTGCATATTTTGAAACTCGCAAGTACTCGCAAGGGAATCAAAACCTAAAGGGTACTTCCAGTCGACCTAGAATCTTGAAATTTGGCATGAAGCAACGTTTTATAGCACACATGAAGGAAAAATTCCGAAAACCTTAAATTTTTAGTTACATTACAAAATATATATTTTTTTAATAAATATAAACTTATGAATTTCATTTTGCAATAAAAATACCATAGTTATGACTCGATTGTCGTAATGAACGAACTTTGTAAACCTTGCAGGTTTGTACGGAACCCTCGGTGAGCGAGTCCGACTCGCACTTGGCCGGTTTTTTTAACCTTTTTCATGTTTTTTTAGTTATGTTTAGCTTGATGTGATAATTGATGATAAACCTTGTTTGTAACTTATCAATATGGATAAATCATTTATGGTATTATTTTATTAATTTCATGGGCTGTGTCAGGGTGAGACTCGGAACAAAGGCCTATTTTTAGATCGGGCTCAATGGGGTTCGAAGGCTGAGGTACATCGCCGTTCATGGCGGGGCACCTTTAACTATAATGGCATTGTATACTTTGATTAGTAGCCATCGAAAACACTTACACATGATTGGAGGTATTTACCTAAAACATGATGTTGTTTGTGTTTATGCCCGTGTTTCATAGCTATTCAAATCAAAGTAATTGATTCAATATTAATATTCAAGACAAGTACCACGGAATTGATGATATTTTTTACGCATACCATTAAAATTTTATTTTCAAGTTTGGGAAGTCGAATTTTTTAAAAGATGATAATCCATATTACTAATCTTTCATGTAAATATGTGAGTAAAATAAGTATGCATTTAGTAATTCACACCATTAACAAGTTGTCAGAGATTGGATGTAATATTTTGTTGACAATAATAATCATAAAATCATAACACAGAAAGCAAAAGATACTTATCAATAATAAAAATCTTCATAAAGAATTACGGTACAATGTCAACTTCTTATCGCTGCAAAAGTTTTCGTTCCGTTGCCCTTTCCGCCGCCCAAAGAGCAAACAAAGTATTTTGTACAGCTTAGTCTGACTTGTATGCATTAATGCAAATTAGATTTCCTTGCCAGAAGGACCTGACTTATGGAACATTATACATTCTTTAGTCTCCATATTTTGCAGTACAAAGGACTGTAACTTCATAAGTTAAGTTGTTTTTGTAGAAAGACCAACTAGGAACTTCTTGGTTTGAATTACAAATGGGGCACACGTTAAAAATGTTAGTGTATTTAAAAAAAACAGTTTGAATAATCTTTAAATTAACTCGATTGTTCAAAAAGAAAATTAACAGAAGTAATACGTTTACTTTCTTTTTCTTTCTTTTCAGCCAAATGACGTCCACTGCTGGACAAAGGCCTCCCCAATACGTTTACTATCCGACTAAAACTTGGTTTCGATTTGTCGGTTGATCATAATACTTTTTCCCGACGTAGCAAATGTAATTATTCCCGTACGATATTACAAAGTAAATGTAAATGAATATACTTTCACGGGCGCGTCATAATTCCGTAAAGGCAATAATGCCGTCGAAATCCCGCGCAAAATTGATGAAATTGCCGCGAGTAGTCGCGGGGCCCGCGTGCGACTTACTGGGGCGCATCTGGGGGCTGATTATTAATTGAACGGACCGGCTTTGGAAAGTTATGTAAACGAAAAAGAACAGCCACACTCCGAGTCAAATATGGGAATGTAATTGACCCAAAGCGAATTGGGAAAATCAAAGCAACAAAACTAAGTTAAGTAAAATCATGTTTACCTTATAACGTTTCATCGATTCAAGTTTGACCGATCGAATGCTTTCTACTCTACAGGCTGAACTTCGATAGAGCGTGCGTTCTATGAACAGAGGTTTCAGCGAAACGTGATTTCGACGGAAAAATATTTCTTCAGAGCCTTCTATGATAATCGAATCAATGATTCTTGTTGCTACCCGAGTGACTTAGCTGTTCTCGTTAGTCTACATAAGGTGTCCACGGATAGAATACCAATAGACACTGGGGATGGCAATAAAAAACATACATATTTATTTGGGGGACAGTGACATGGCGACGTAACGCGATCCAATTGGATTGTCCAATATTTTGTGCAACTCAATCAAAATGCAAGGGGGTGTCACGTGCAGTGTTCTTTGAGATTGATCACTCACAAATTGCATTCAAACAAAAACCATTATGATAATACCACTAAAAATAAGGCACGTGACCGTACACTAAATTCTTAGGGGGAGCTTTAATAGTGCCTTTTTTAAATTCCTAAGCTAACACAACCGATTTTAAAATCATTATAAGAATGGATATTGTTTCACAATACGCCCGGTTTATTTAAATTATCTCTATGAGTTATTGGTGCAATTTATTTTGTATCTGAAATATGACCGCATGTATTTAGAACATGTTTGAAAGGCATTACATATTCAAACAATAATTCCCCACATACTACATACACGCTATAAATCAGGCATATCGGGGCCATTGTGCGGCTGCTAAGTACGGCCCATTGTTTGGTCCCACTGCCCGCCCGTAACTCTATATTACTATGTTCGAGAGGAATCCATAGATCGACTTCGGTTGACTTGAGCGGCTAAATTGCAAATGTTATTGAATCTATTAGATGTTTGTATCAATAATATAGCCTTATCCAAAAAAGAAATATTTTTAAAAGAGTGTTTATTTTGAGAAATGGAATAACAAACGGTTACGGAGCTACTACGTGGACATTATCTATTATTTGTTTTTGCAATTATAAACAATTTTTAAATATCTTGAACGACAATACTTATTAATCATAGTTACTTTACAAGTAAAATACATACAGCCGAACATTTATAACCTCCTCCGTTTTTCAAGTTCAACACCAGTTTGAACCAAATATCCATAAAGGCAAAAAAGTTAACCTTTTGAAAACTTAGTAAAAGATTAAGCACGATAAAACCCAATAAAAATGAGAAATTGCCAAATAATGAGTTGAATGAACAGTCCACTGCGTAAACGGTACGATTTCCTCCCAAAAAGCTAATCTAGTGGCAAAAATACACTCGTGTGAATTCTGCTTGGCGGAGCGAACTGGTTCCCTAGCCCCTAAACAAAAAGGATTACGCGCGCACCTTCAGTGAAAACTCAACTTAAGCCGAGTAAAGATTAAGTTGAGGTTTGAATGATGGGTGTTTAAAACGAGTTGATCCTTTGTCAAAATTCTCAGCTAATCAATGGTATTTGTGTCAACTATGTATTACCTAATACCTATAGGCGTGTAAAGTTGATGAATGCTTTATGATCCTGATTGATGGCATTATGCTTAATTTACGTAATACGTCGCTGAACGGTTATTTGTGTACAATTAAACATCAAACTATGTCCAAAGAAGAGCAAGCGTAAAAGTGTCAGATCTACTGAACTATCACAGGCGCCTGACATGGCTCGACCGAACTGAAAACTTAACGTACTTTCACCGAAAACATTTCACATTCATGAACAACAAAAAATATGTACACTGTAATAAAGTCAAATTATTTGACCCTCAAGACTCTTCTCATATAAAACCAGCAACAAAACCGAAGCACGTACAGTTTAGGCAAAAATTGGTTGGTGAAGCAATATTAAACCAAAGGTCAAGGTCAAAGTCAAGGTCAGGGTCAAGGTCACCGTACCTTCTGCTTGTCCAGCTGCTGCAGGATGTCGTCGACGTCGCCCACGGCGACCGGCTGCGCGCGCAGCATGTCCGACTCCACCGACACCCAGTCGCGAATCTGCAACAAACGTAAGTTCAACCATTTGTCAATGCTGCGGTCTGCGGTCAGCGGTCAGGTCAAAGTGAACGCATCACGAATCACGTTTGAACAACATTCTTAATCTATACGCATTTTGTATTGATGCGATCTGACAATGCGGCCCGAGCAAAGACCACAAACTGACACACACCTGTCAGTTCAGCCTCAAACTCCAAAATTATCCCCATTTCTACTTCTTCTTTCATGACAATGACTTGAGTTTTCGCCAATAAACGGAATGCAAAACTGTCATTGGACCCGCAACAAAATTAATCAGAAAAACATAGGAAGAATTCGAAGTTCAAGTTCTCATTGGACGCAGTTGACATCTTTTTTATGAGCTACAATGACATACTCTTTAGCAGCGGTATAACTAAAATACTGTCAGATCTCATGAGCTACCATATTATTACCTACTACCATATCGTCTAGCACGGCTCAAATAAACCAACACCATGGATCAGTAGCTTAGACCTTATTACATTACTCTTATAGGTTCGAGACAAAGTTCCACAATTAGGTTTGCAAGGAACTCTTGTCGAGCACCAGCTGCGCTCAGAACTTTCTCTGGGTTTTGGTAACAAATTTACCGAAATATAAGTAAATGAACTCCTTTAGGCTTTATTCAAGAGTGAATTAAGAATGCGGTTTTATGGGTCATTGATTGTTAAGTCAACCCTACACGTAGTAACTGAAACTTAACATTAGTTGAAACTGATAGAATATTCCAACGCTACATTCAATAAAATGTTCGCTTCTTAACCGAATAGACCCATAAAGTTCAGTCTAAAACGGCTATTCCTACGGTAACATGTATTTTGTGTAACGACGCCGCTTAGCATGCGGACCGCTGTAACGCGCGCAATCAAAAAACTATTACACCGCGTGCGTGGAACTACCAGCTCCATGTTATATTTGTGGTTTGGCTAATGCCGCGAGAAAAGTAAATATTGTATAAAGTCTGCTATTAAAACTTAGCCAAAAGTGCCATTTTAAGTTTAGGTGTGATTCTAATCACTATTGGACGATTCAATTATACCACCACTGTCCATTTTTGGAGGTGTAATTCTTTTTGAGCCTCCAAATTACTCACGAAACCTTTTTGGTTTAAAAATAGATTTGATCCGTTTAAACCCGAAATCTGAAGCAAGCAGAACAAATGCCGCTTCATTTTCATTCTATCTACCATCAGAGGCGATCCGGCCGACCTCTGCAGAAATCATTTTATTGTATCGGTTTCCGATACCAACAAAATTTTTATTCGAGCACCGCGCGATATGCCTCGCCACTTAGGGCTGGTAGTAAAAATATATCGCCCGAACTCTTGACCTTTGGACGCAGGAAACTCAAGGCGCAAACAATGCGAAATAAATAAAAAGCATGTAGCTTTATTGCCAGCAAAAACAAATGATATGAACCTATTCTCAAGTACGTAATAAGGAAAACACGATCAACAACATTTCTCGGCTACGACTACGAACAAACAAATACGTATACCTATACTTGGTAATAATCACTTTATTATTACACAAAGATTTTCTTCAACGTCATTTTGTAGGTATTAAATCTTAATCAGCTAATGATCCAAATAGTTAATTCATCAGTTTTATAATTTCCTTCAAAAATAGTGTAAAAGCATGTCAAATTTCGCGACTGAAATACTCCCTATTTTGAAGCTCACTTAAACTACATGGCTGTGAAAAGGTCTACAATTCCGTCAACCCTACATATTATAAGGATTTCTCGGAGGCACGTCCAGCGTTTTTCAATAGGGGGCGCCCACTCCGCATACTGATGGTGACGAGGCGAGGGCGCCACCGCCTTTGTCGAGGGCCTGAGTCGTGACCCGCGCCATAAACTACAGGATTCAATCGCATTTGATGCCGAATTTTTGCGACGTCTCTCATGTGATACTATTTTTGGGGTATATCCGTAAGTACTGAATCGGCTTCAATTAGTTTTAGGCTCTGCCTCGGCTTCATTTTAGACTAGGTAAATATTCATATTACACACAGCCAAGCTTTATTTTTAAAATTTTCCCAAATCCCGTCTCTATTTTTCCTTATTTTCTGGTTAGAGCAGAAACACGAGTACTAGTATTCTTTTATTACTTCCAAATTATTAATTGTGTGTGAGAGTGAACAGACAGCAGGATATTGGACCAAAATGGCCCTATATATAAGTCCTATTTGCAAACAACTGTGATATTACATGTAATATTGCTCTCACATATTTATAATCTCGTTTCCATAAATTGTATGCTCAAAAACAGCAAAAATAGTTCGTTTTTAATAGCTCCAAGTAATAAAATATTTTTATTTATTCAACTATAAAGTTGAAAAACGGTTTATCACCGCTTTTGATCTTTGTCCTTAAATAAGTGAGCTTCTGGTCCATTTTGGCTTCATAAAAATATTTCACGATTTTATCAGACGCATTTACTCCACGCCGCGGAAATTTTAAAGCAATTTATGAAAGCATTTTTGCATTGTTCACGAAGCACCGATTTTAATGGACGACGAAAAAATTATATTCTACCAAAAAAATAAAAAATAGTTTCGCTTTACAAATACTTAATAGTTTAGGTTTACATACCACAAATGCATTAGGTACGAGGGGCGGCTGAAAAGTTTTGAGCCTAGGGTATTAAAAATGCCGATAGAAAAGTATAAAAAATATATTTTTCTATTTAATCTCCCTCTATTACAATGGACTTCTTACAATTGCGTAAAAGAGCTTTTAACCCACTGAAAAAAAATTCGCAATCTTTGCATTCGAAATGAGCCTTTAACGCCGCCTTCATTTCTTTGTCACTCAAAAATCTTCGTTCCTGGAGGTCTTTTTTCCAATTTGAGAATTACAAAAAATAGCTAGGGATTCGGACTAAACTGTGTGGTGGGTGATAAATTTCTTGAAATCCAGTTTTACCCGGGGCAAGCCATGCAACATGCGCGGTGTGAACGGGCGAATTGTCTTGCAATAGCAAATTTTCTTTCGCCAGTTTGCCTCTTAATATTTCAACAACCACTTGACGCACTCTTATCAACAGTACAGCATAATAATCCCCGTTTATTGTAGTTTTTTTTAAGTTGGTAGTCAATGAATAAAATTCCTTCACAATCCCAAAAATAGTGGCTATGAGCTTGGGTGTCGATCGCTCCACTTTGAATTTCCGCGGCGACGTTTTCCCTTTTAAATCCATTATATTGACTCTTATTTTGACTCTAGATCGTACTGCCGGATCTATTATTTATCAATAGTGACAATGTGAGAAAAAAAATGTTAGGATTATGGCCAAAGATGTCCTAAAACTCCTGCGAAGTTGTGACTCGACACTGGTTGTCGAACGGCGTGAGCATTTTTGGCACCCATCGCGCACACCCCATTTTCATGTGCAAATGAGTATGAAAAATATCGCCGATACGTTCCTTGCTGATGCCTATGGCTTCAGCTATCTGTCACAACTTAATTCGCTGATCTCTAAAGCAAGATTCTTTAAATTTTCATTATTTTATTCGTTAATGGCGAAATCTGGCCGCCCTGACTTGCGGTCATCTTTAAGCGACTCCCTGCCATGCTTGAATTATCGGATCCAATCTTTCATGGTGGCAAATGAAGGCCCAGATTCCCCATAAACTGTCGACATCTCTTCAAATGATACCATCAACGTTTTGTTCCTCTTTTTGAGGAATTTTATGACAACTGTGTACTTCAATTTCGTACATTGCACGGATGACTGAGACATGGTGATGTTTACGGATTAATTACTAAAAGCGTGATGACGCTAATGAAATGAAACTTTGTACATATACTAAGGAGGTTATAGGCAAATTAATTAAATTTAGTGCGAGTCAATAATAACACTTGAAGATACTTAGGCTCAAAACTTTTCAGCCGCCCCTCGTAATTGAAATAAATGGTAGGTTCGAGTTAACTCAAATAAAGGCTAGCTTTTAAATCCTAACAGTTTATTTGAACTGATGGCATGAGGTTAGCAACATGTAGTAAACACTGAATGTAAATAATAATTAAAGTTAAATACAATTTTAACTTTGTAGTTTTAACTATTCGCTGTTTGTCAACATTTGTCTGCAAATTCAATTAAACTCAAATGCTGTTTTTAGGGTTCCGTACCTCAAAAGGAAAAAACGGAACCCTTATAGGATCACTTTGTTGTCCGTCTGTCCGTCCGTCTGTCAAGACCCTTTATCTCAAGAACGCGTGAACGTATCAAGCTGAAATTCACATGAAATACTCAGGTCTATTGTCCCTTTAAGCTGTGAAAATATCAAACTTCTAAGCCAAGCCAATCAAAAGATACAGCCGATTATGTCGATATTTTCAACAAATTTTCGACACTCGCAAAGGAATCAAAACCTACAGGATACTTCCCGTAAACTCAGAATCTTGAAATTTGGCATAAAGCATTGTCATATAATGCAAATATAGGAAAAATTGCGAAAATTACATTTTTTTAGTTATATAATATAATAAAAATATTTTAATAAAATGAAACTTACTACCTTATTTCTCACGAACGAATAAAGGTATCAAATTGAAATTTATACCAAATACCTAGATCTATTGTCCCTTTAAGAAGTAAAAAAATCAAACTTCTAAGTTAACGCGATCAAAAGATACAGCAGTTTATACCGACACCTTAGACGAATTTCCGTCACACGCTAGGGAATCAAAACCTACAAGGTACTTCCTGTGAACTCAGAATCTTGAAATTCGGCACGAAGCAACGTTATATAGTACAGATAAAGGAAAAATTGCGAAAATGATAAATTTGAAGTTATATAAAATTTAAAATATTATTTTTGCTTACATGACATAAAATATTTTTTTAATAATTATAAACTTACTACCTACCCTTTTTCACATGAACGCGTAGAGATATTAAAGTTGAAATTCATATCAAACACTTCTTAAATCTAATTGCCTCTAAACTGTGAGAAATTCTAAATCAACGCAAAACGCTGAGGTAGGTACCTACCTATAATGCAAATATAGGAAAAATAAATAAATAAAAAATAATCATACCGCATATTTTGAAATTCGCCACTACTCGCAACGGAATCAAGTAAGTAATTTGATTTAATACGTCATAAATTGTAAACCGCTACGTTTGTACGGCGGAACCCTCGGTGTGCGAGCCCGACTCGCACTTGGCCGGTTTTTAATTAAATAATTGTACTGGAAGTTTACAGAACTAAATTAAATAAATAAACTTACAGAAGTGCAAAAAAAAGGATTATTCAAAACATTGCAAAGTTATTTGTAAATGTGTGTCAAATGGTACTGACAAGTAACGCACACTCGCTTCACTTCGTGCCAGTCCAACTTAAACTAGAGACCAGTACCTACGCTTAATCGCATCCTGCAGTACTACTCAACTTAAAGCACAAAGCTTGGCCGCAACTCCAAGTTGCCAAGTTCGCTGATAACTTCGCCTTCTTTCTTGGCTAACTTGGCCAGGGCTGCCCAGCATTTGGTATTTAAATTATGTTCCATGTTTTTTGGTTTCGAGATTTGTGCTAGGGTTGGCTAACGAGTGAACGAGTTAATTTGATCAAATAATTAAAACATCTGCTTTTGTTTGATTTTAAAATAGAAATCATGAGATCGGATCATTATGTTAACATAGTACAAAAATAAACTTAATGAAATTCTCTTTTTAACTTCATTTTTGTTGAGTAATTAATATAACAAAATACAGCTGCTTGTAATGAGCTTAGGTGATCTAACAGATAAATGATGTCATTACCATTACGCTTTTATTGTTCCAGTACTTATTTAGTATGAGTATAAATAAATACACTTTTACTAACAAAGTAGTAATTTGAATTACAGTTTTAAAGCCTTAAAGCACCTGTTTATTTTATTGGCTTCTCGCGGTATTTGGACAACCCTAGCGCTCCCTTACATTCCAAGGGCAGAACAAGAACTATTCGCGAAATTTAATTTTTGTGTGCGCCGGTACAGTCGGACGAAATTTAATGTTTTCGGAAGAATGCCGCCTGCGCAGCCGCCGGAAGAGATACGGGACTCGAACCTGCGAACGAGATGCCTTCGCGGGCTTTGATACAAATGTCTTCCGTAACGCAGGTTGGTGGAGTAGGCTTGTTTACTAATGATTATAACATTATGTAACTCATACACAAAATGTCGCGTTTTATTTGAAGATGCGGCATTTTAGTTGAAATGGAACGCCAAATTTTTCAAATCCTATAATAATGTAAAAGATATACTCAAAACAATACTATTCTAGGCAAAAAATATTTTAACTACGATTAAAACGTCGCAAATGAAACAATCTGCTAGCTAATGATCTTATCAAACAAATAACACAAACTGGAAATAAAATATCTTTGGACAATCTCACACAGCGCCATCTAGCCAAAGTAAGCAATTAACATGCTTGTGTTATGGGTGCTAGCTTAACGGATATACTACTTATATACTTTTTTCTTTAAATACATACATAATTATACATAGAACACCCAGACCCGTCACAGAAATTAAAATTCATCATTTCAATTTCTGCCCGGCCGGGAATCGAACCCGGGACCTCTCGGCATAGTAGTCCGTTCTGAACCACTACACCAAACGGCCGACTGAAATGACTAAATTGTTTTTCAGTTTTTCAGACCTTGGTTCGAAATTTGTGCCACCATGGAGGAAAGGAGCTTACTGTACTTGGCGACACTATGACCTTGGGGAGACGCTTAAAATTTTGCTTTTGAAATAATATCTTTACAGGGGATAAGAGATTCCGTCGAAGGTATTTTTGAAACATTTTCCAAACAAACTTTACCTTATCTAAAAGGGCAACATCAGGAGAATAAATTTTGTATTTAAACTTTAGATACAGGTTAACAGTGATAGTTACGATTGCTTCATGAATAGGATTGCTGGTGTCGATAGACAACCAATTTTTTCCTATGCAAAAGTAAAAAAAAAATATAGTAACTGAAATCTGATTTGATTTACCAAATTACAAGTGTTCGATACAACAAAGGAACACCAAGGAAAGTGTGATCCCGCCGTTTCCCTAGAGAAATAATGCGAAACGTTGGCACTTATCAAGTTACCGCGTCCCGTCCCAGCTAGGCAGCTCTCCGACATGTCTGTCATAACATATCTCTTAGGTATAATACAAAAAGTACAGAACTTGTTACAAAATTGTTTGTCGGAGTTAATATTTAATAGGGACCAATCCCACGTCTCGTTTCGATACTGCACCTCCTGTTTATTAAATACAGAAGGCACAGCTGGTACCAGAGAAAAATCAGAGCTGTGCATAACTTGGAAGCTGAATGTGTTTTAATCGTTTCTTATTTTCCTCGAATACTTTTTATGGACTGTCAAAACGCAGTTTCTTCGCACAGTTTTTCGTTATGTTATGTTAGTCAAAGCTATCGAGTTAAATGAAATAAAAATCTAAATCATTGTATCAAAAAATTTAAAATAAAGCAGCTATTTGTTAGTTCAAGAGGAATGTAAGAAATTAAATTTAGTTTTTTTAATCCGTTTCTGTATCTGACCTGCTGCGCCGCGGTGTCGAAGTTGGCCAGCAGCGTCGCCGCCGACTGCTGCGACGAGCGGCGCCGCGACGAGCCGCGGCTGCTCCAATCTGCAACAAGCAAAATAATACAAATAAGTGAAAAAGTCTTTCAAGGTTCTGTTTTTGTACGTTTTATATAAATTCGTAGACTAGGGCGAAAATCTATCCAAAATTAATATTTTAAATATAATAATAGACACATATTTACAAACATGTCAACCAGAAAAAATACTACAACAAAACATGGAATCGACCAAATAAAGATTATTTGATAATAACACAGCATGCCCCAAAAGTGCGGCATCAGCTGTGGACAGGTGACGTCACGCCGCAATGGCGCCGCCGGCGACCGGAAACGAACTCCATCGAGTTCCAAATTAAAAAACGACAGCGAAAAGCACCGTCAAGTCCATAACGGACCCGATACAGGAACAAAATGATAGAAATATTGATCGAAAAAGTGCTTCAGATTTTCATTTGCATACAGTTATCAATGTAAAATTATAGGAACCCATCATTTTCCAAAGTTTTAGCTTCATTGTAGGAAATAAATTACTACAAAATTAATAGACACCAGTCTTTGAAAGATGGTCAGAAAATGTAGCAGATTTTTTTTATTTAGGGAACTGAATTAGCAGCTTCTAACAGTTCAAAGTAATTCAGCAAGTTAGAAACGTTGACAACGACTGTCAAAGAACACGAAAGCAGTAATGAGTCCATTTCCCCGCGACATCGACGCCCCGTCATATCCGCGCGCTTTGGTGGGCGGGCTCGGACGCGCGCTGTTGCAGCCCGGATGAGAAAGGAAAACGATTGCAATGATAGACAAGCCTGGGTACTTCACACACATGGATAACATTTCTCCCCGTTTATTGAAAATTTTTAACTATACGCTTTTCTATTAATTAACGTTTTTAAATCACCACACCATGTCAATACCGTCGATAAAATAATCAGTAAAATTGCAAATTAAAATCATAGGATTTAGGGAAATTTTAAATATTCATATTACTTCAGTAATAAGATGGTGTGATGTTACAACTCAAAGTATTCAGTTCTAAAAACTATAAACGTGGATATTGACTTACTTAAATCAGTAGATATTATAGTTTGTAATGAAAAAAGCAAATCAGGCCAGAAGTAATTAACATGAGATACCAAACAAACTCAAGGAAAGTGATCAAGTCATGAAGGCGCGGGTTTTTATAACTCCCACGCAGCGATATTGGGAAAGTTTTTATGTCAACCTTCGACGAGCCCAGGGCTGCCAGCGCGGGGAATTTAATATTCAGGATCATGGACTTATGTATAAGTTTTAAGTCATAACTTCTCAGGACTTGACATCTTAGGGTGTCTTTTGTTCCTTGTGACTTTCGTGTTCAATGCGCTTTCTAATATGATTTTGTAACTTTTTCCAACGCGACATGGCAAATAGTATAATTCTCTTTAGTTCTAGCGTCTCTCTTTACGCACGTCTTATTATCTAGTTGTACAGTCAACGTCAATAAGTTCATTATACCCAAAGTAGCCAATACGAACGAATAAGTTCCCAGCACCACTTTGTTACAATCGAAATATGGTTGTGTTGTCAACAAGTTAGCACTTCGGGTATCAAGAATTATTTACATAGTTGGTTAATTAATCATGATTGAGTTCACTCATTCGAACTTATTCTCGTGAAACATTACATTCGCAGTAAGGCTCCACTCTTCGGATACTCACAACATTGTTTCCAGTCTAAGTGGGCACTCAGGTCTGTGCTAATGATCCGGCCCTAGACAACAAAGCCAGCGGTCGTGAGTTTGCGTCCTGCATGGGGCCTACCGCTAAGCGCGACAATAATAAGATTTAATAACCTCAGACTTCGGACTGGAAGTGGAAAATGTCTCATTTTAAATTTTTGATGGTGCTGCATACTCCAAAGTGGTGACAAATTGTTGCATTTACAACATCGACCCATTCAATTTCCAACAAATTATAATCAAGCAAGACTCCATAACTTAACAACATTTACCACTCACATTGATAACATACATAGTAAGTAACCTAAAATCTTTTAACAAATAAATATTCTAAATCACGTTTTGAGAGCAACGCGTAAACCGCGCTCTCACTGAATTTCAAAATCAGGATCATGGACTTATGTATAAGTATTAAGTCATAACTTTTCAGGACTTGACATCTTAGGGTGTCTTTTGTTCCTTGTGACTATCGTGTTCAATGCGCTTTCTAATATGATTATGTAACTTTTTCCAACGCGACATGGCAAATAGTATAATTCTTTAGCTTTAGCGTCTCTCATTACGCACGTCTTATTATCTAGTTGTACAGTCAACGTCAATAAGTTCATTATACCCAAAGTAGCCAATACGAACGTTGACGATGACTTAAAAATAATGAAATGAATAAAAAAAATCAACTAAACAAGGAAATCGGTCAAATGTCTTTGCATACGAAGATGGAGTAACGTCACTCAGGGAAGACAGGTTTTGGTCCCCAATTGTGTTCAATATTTGAAGCTTAGGCAATAGAACAACTAAACCAAGTCATGTCATTTTTGTTACGATTGTCGCCCCTATCACATCACACTACGGAGCTATCCCGCACCAAAGTTGAGCTCGACCGGAGTTTAAATCGAGTTGACGTGTGATCGCGTCTAGTCGGCGAGGACGTTCCGAGTTGTTCACGACTTCAGGGTACTTTGAGACTTGCGACACTTTTAGGGAACTCGTGAACTGAGGTTATGAATTAATAAATAATAATGAAATGTAGAGACAGAATTCGGTGGAGGCCTATGTTCGAAGACAAACCCCGAAAGATACATAAATGTAATAAGCAATATTGGTGTTTGGTAAACAATGAAAGTAGATTTCTGAAAGCTCAAAAGCTGCATGTTGATAAGTAGATATGTAAAACATTTTTCAAGTATGTATGATGCAATATCCAATACCATAATATGAATATGTAGTTATATGGCAAATACGCGTTACAACCGCAAAACCACCAATAAGCGTTAATTGTGTTATGACGTATTAATTACTGTCTATTGATTAACTGGGCTGTTACTGTCATGTCAGACATTTATAGCTACCACAAGTATTCATAACTACCACCATCAGAGACAGAAGCACTATTTTCTATGAAACCAATTGTGTCAAGCGTTATCATGGGTAATCTTCTTCTTCTTATCGTGTTGACAACAAACCTACACAGTGTCATCCCAAAACTTCGCTACAAGAGTGGCGTTGTCAGCAACAATCATTAAATCCTCCTGAGTTATATATGAAGAGTATAAATCATAGGTAATATAAATATTAGAAGTATAACATAGTTTTTTTTTCATAGTTTGTAGGTAAGTAGGTAAACCACGATGAACATAAAATACGCTTCTTTATTTTATTCCACTTTTCTCTACTTATTCCGTAGTTCCGTACGTTAAGTGCAGACGCACTCACGCGCCGGCGTAATGGCGTAATCCGGTTAGCGAGCGCCGCGCGAGCATTGAACCGGGTTCGATTACAGGGCCGACTAAATACCAACACTAATAGAAAAAGATAGTGTTGTACAGCGAGAGCGTTTGTAAGTCTTTCTCTTTTAAGTTTGCAATCTTTAAAACTAGGTATGTATAGGATTTAGTTACTTTTTTAAATATTACCGAAATGTCAAATCACTCTAAATCTCTACAGGAATAACAAAAACTCGACAAGTAGGTACTAGTAGGTAGAGTCCCAATCAACCCCTAGAAAGTAGATATAAATAGCTGCTTAGAGACTACACAACATCGTTTATATTTTGTCTGCTAAAAAGTAATTTAAATTAAGTCACTATGGAAACCATTTGTCTGCCAAACGCAGCCCGTTCACTCGGCTAATTTCGCCGCAGTTGTTTTAAGTTGCGTGGTTTAAAAACCCGCTTTTTCTGAAGACCAAATTAATGACTGCTAAGCGAGCGTCCCAAGATTACGCCTTTGTTAGCCGCCGCTCAGCTTAATCTAATTTACTGAAGTTAAACACTGTAGCACAGAGAGAAAGAACATTCCACCAGGTAGTTACTTTTCAGAAATCATCAGTATTCATAATAGGGATAGGAAACTTTGATGGTTTGCACAATCATGATGAAAGAGAAAATATTTTTATGACACTGTTAGATTTTTACCAAAACACTTTTACTGCTGCTAACTGCTGAAAATGGCGCATATATTATGCCTTATTTCAGAATCTTTAGGTTATGATTTTAACTTTTTCTAAATTTACATTTTTGAAATCTTGAAGGCGTTTATTGAAACGGAATTTGTAGTTTTCTGTCCATTGAATGAGATACTGTACTTGCTTAGCTATCGCAAACCGCTGTGGTCTAAATATGCAATGAAATGTAAAGGGTGCCGAAATAAGTGTTGTAATCGAGAATCCCAGGCTCCTGTCCCGGGCCGCGCCCAAAGCCCGGGATACGGGAACAATACTCCGGAAGCTCCTTTGGAATCCCCTCATGTATAAAAATCTATTTTGTTGTTGGACATTCATACGTTTAGAGACATTGAACTTTACAGCACATTGCAAATGTTATATTATGTTGTTATGAAGAGTAAAAACTAGATCAAATCATGCCTACTTATCAAGATATTTTCAATGAAACTGAAGTAAACAACTCCAATTCTGAAAAACAACATTATCTGTTTATTTCCGGTTCTAAACCCCTTTAATGGGGTAATTAGCAAGAATTCTTCGTAAAGGTTATAATAAGTCAAAATGAAACGTTCCAAAAATACCTGCTAATTATGGAGCGATTGCTGGAAGAGTCCTCGGTTCTCAAACTTGAAATATATTGACTCTAACAGAAGAAGCGCTTCAGTAGTAAAACAGTTTGAAGTCTGTAATCATTTATTTTTAGTAAGTTGGCATTTGAAAAGCTCTTTTACGTATTCCAAAAAATTTTCTTGCAATAACCCAACCATTGCTTCGGGACGGAACAATAATGTATAGGGCAGTACTTAAAACAGTTCAAGAAATCTAAAACCAAGGCTTATTGTACTAAAGCGTATGATTTTTAATTACCTAAGAGTGGGACCCCAC